ACAACTGGTACCGCCCTAGGTTGTAGGAAATATGTGTATGTTTTATAATCAAGATCAATAGTTGATACTAAGAGACGGCAATACGATACAACAATACGGTTCGGCACAGTAGGTACAGGAAAAGCAATTGACCGATCCGACATTCTGATGTGCGCTCAAGGAACGAACGCACGAACAAACTTTTTTTTTTTTTTAAGTTAAGAATTGGGCACACAGGCCCGTCTTACATTCTGCCTTTCTAGCCTCACACCATATATTATTCATGCACACACTGTTTTCGCAGATAATAATAATATTAATAGTCATCATCACAACATCTTTGTGATGGAGCCATGACGTGAAGATTATTCAAGAGACAACGTTGAATCGGCACCACTCAAAAGACTAGAAGAGCTTCAGGTCAAAAGAGCTGTCACGAAACATGAACACTAAACAGTTAACTAAAGAAGATTAGTAAACTAACACAGAACTGGTGTTATCAGTCGCCACACACTGAGGAATACACTGAAGATGAGATCCAAACGCTAACCGTGTGCAATGAGGATAATCTTTGGATGTTAAAGTCGAGAGGATCGACTTCATTGAGCTGGATTTTATCCCATATGGTTCGGGTTCTCTCCTCAGAATGGCTAGCCGTCTGCTGATCGGGCCGCACTGAGCACGTATTTCGTAGCTCCAGCGACGATCCCTAGGAATCTCGTTAAAAAATTGCACTCGTGAACTGAAGGGCGCATCCATGAAACAAACCGACAACTTTCGAAGCTTGTGGTAAACAGCTTGACCACTTCGCCACAGATTATAAATATTCTGAAACATAGCAAAGATGGTTTAGGTAAACGTTTACCCCTACAGGACAGCAGGTATTACCAGGATTGTCAAGCCATTACCAGTGCCCAGTTATAACTTCTTTGGAGGCTGAAAAGTGTATTTTGAATTCGTTAAGTTGAGAGGTTTTAATCTGAGTGTGGCAAACCTTTATGTAGCGGCACTGAAGTTGGAAGCAGGAGAAAGGAAGGAAGGAAGACGTTGCTGATAGCACTACAACTGGAATTTAAATGTCTACAGTCTACAGCATTGCAAACCTGGAATTTAAATCTCTACAGTCTACAACATTGCAAACCTGGAATTTAAATCTTCTTCTTCTTCGCGTTCATCAGCTGTACACTCTGGCGGAAAGTTCTGGTTATTCGTCCACTTCTTGACTGCAGTCGTGTTCCAGAACTTGAGTGTGCATCCGTTTGACAGATCTGACTAATTTGTATGCAGACTGTTGGTTTCTTGCCTATTAGTCAGTTGCACTCTGACTTTGAAGGAGCTCCTAATTAGTTAACTTTTACGACATGCTTTTGTATAGGGTCTATTCTTGTTTTCCCTATAACAGGACCCGGAACTCACACGGGGAGGAATTGAAATGTCTACAGTCTACAACATGGCACAACTGGCAGTGAAATCGGAAGCAAATAAACTGAGGAAGTGAAGAGATTAGACCCAAGAGAAACACTACAGTAGACATTGATGAGAGAGGCCAGAGGTGTCGCCTGGTTTCGATAAGGAAATTGAAAGAATTCCCAAAATAAAACGGAGTGAGTGAGGTCAATGCAAGGGCTATATGACTATAAATGGAACAGCAGGACAATGATCACTATGTCGTTCCCCATGTGGAATGCATTTTTTTTTTTTTTTTTTCATTTTTTGAAGCCCCACTATGACTTCTGCCTGGGGCCCTGAATCTAGCCGGGGCATAGAAATGGCCTAGCCATAGATATGGCCTAACGGCTAACAGGGGTTTCTAGGACCTCTCCACGGGTGATCCTCATCCGCATGGTGGCACTTTGTCTCACTGGGTGTTTATCGCTTGCGTGATGTCCTGGTGGGGTACAACTACCAACCAACAACAACCACTTTTTTTGTTGTGGGAGGAGGGGGTGGGCGTTAATGTGTGTGCCCAGTTTGCTCTTAGATGTATTTGCGGTGTTTCGTGGAGACTCGTTTATTCTCAAAAGACCAAAGGGATCTGTGTTCACTAAGCTCTTTCTATAACTTTTCAGAAAATGTTCAGTCATATAATTAAGTTTTTCTGTGTACAAGTCCTTTGAAAAGCAATGTGAAATTATTACTGGTAAGACGAATAGAGGAAATAATTACAATTTATAGCCCGGACAATGTGAAACGAAATATTTCGTAAACATTACTGACTTCTTCATGGTTTACCGAGATGACTAACCAAAAACAACCATGTCTTTGCGCTGTTATATCCTTCAAGGTAATTATTATGATCCTACTTATCAGCACAACCGTTTCGTCTGCCCTGGAATCGTCTCTGTTTGTCCGGCTGCCTTCATTCGACGGCTACCTCCATACCACTTACAATCTCACATCTCTCTCTCCAGTCAAATCTAAAGTTGCTTGTGCTTTATCCTGCTTGAAGGATCCAGAATGTGGTTCGTTCTTCATAGTGAGAAAGCCACAGATGATGTGCCAGACCCATTCTATAGTCTTCATGACAACCAACGAAGCCACGCCCCAGTCTAGTGCATCGTATTATCAGCTGACTCAAGGTAAGTGTGTGTTTATGACTGCAGGCTTTTTTAAATCATTTACTTGCACACCGCAAAGAAAATTGTGTGTATTATGTCATGTTTCCAGCACCATGCCACCGTCGCAAAACGTCGCTCTCGTCACGATCTGCTTGAAAGAAACTCGGTCTCTAGTCAGCTCTCCCGCCTCATGTACTTTCATACTTATATCCTGTGCCCATCTTCGTGTTGGCCAACCCCTGCTCCTCCTTCCTGGTACCATGCCTTCTACTATAATTTTTTCGCAATCCGTCGTGGCGCTTGATATGACCAAAATATTTCAGCTTCCGAGAGAGGATGCAATTTATTAGCCAATCTTCCTTGATGTTCAGATCTTTTAAGATGTCAGTATTTCACCTGTTCTTTGTCCAAGATATTCTGAGAATCTTTCTATAGCATTTCTGCTCAAAGGCCCCTGTTCTTTTTCTTAAGGAGTGGGAGACAGTCCACGACTCACAACCGTATGTGTAATTTATAATATCACTGCTAAATATCGGTATTTCAGTAATTGATCTTTCTGTCTCTGAAATAATGGTAGTAACTATTAGGGACGGATTATTTCTGGTTGAGCATTTGTTCCCTAACGGTTGCAGGTATTCGAATGTTGTTGTTCAATAATTTAAGCTGTCATTTCCTAATACTAAAGTCCCTCATCCTAATACTGTTAGCAATTTAACCAGTAGAATAGACTGAATAGAGCTGTAATGTTGAAAACAGTACCCAAAATAAAACACATTATAACATTAAATGTTGCATTAACTCCACAGACGGTGACTACAAAAATAGAAACAGAAATATTTTCAAAATCTTCTTCTTTGCTCTACTCCTGGAATGCCTCGCGGCGTCAAGGGAGGAAGAGTTATGAGTTATGAGTTAGATTATCTTTACAGCACTCCGGACACACCCATAGGCGCTCAGATTCCCCTCTCAACATATTCATCAGCATCGTGCGGTTAATAGTACCAGTCCTATGTTGGTTAACAAGACTTCGTGTGCGTCCAGTGTGCTTCTCATGCTTGGCTATGCCGATCATTACTCCCAATTCGCATATTCTTAGAAGTGATGTGGACACGTTGCTTCCAAAATCCTCAGAACATCCTATCTCTCTAAGGGTAATGACAATGCCTGCGTGATCCATGGGCCGGCAATCTTCAATTAATGCAGTGCCTGCCAGTCTATCAGCTCTCTCACTACCAACAACGCCTGCATGCCCAAGGGAGGAAGAGATCTCTAGAACGGGTTACTCTGTTTGCTTTATATATACTACTTCTCAGTGTCTTTGACATTTCTGCGGTCCATCATTTTCCAAAATATAGTCATTAAAAACACACTCTGTACCGCAAGTTCCTATCTTATTTTATTCCTTTCGTTAAAACAGAAAAAACTTATAACACGAGACAGTTAGTTAACCTTAACTGAAACTATTGTTTAAATAATGCAGACACAAACAATATATTCCACAAATTATTGACAGGCATATTTCGCTGAATCTCGTCAGGTGCTTTACAGGGTTACATCAACATAAAATGAAGCACAAAATTGAATAAATGCAACTGAAATGCGAATAGTTTCTTTCGACACATAGTGTATGTTTTGGCAGCCGGAAGCTCACCGTAGTCATGAAACTTACCTGGGTAACTTCAGATTTACTATAAATTCCGTCAGCTTACAAAAAGAGTAGTTATTAATTTTAATTGTTAAAGCTTCGGCCCTTCTCAACAGTCGCCTGTTCAAAGAGTGATAAACCACACGGAAAGCACGGTTTTTGTCAACTACGTGTCCGGAATATTGTGTATACAATATCACTATGCATACAGTGATGGTTTGGGCATAAGCTAAATAAAGTACAGGTTAGGGTCTCATAATCTGGCGGGGCCTTAAAAAGTGCTTTTTTGTTAACACAAAATATGTTTTGACGACATAATCAATTGTTTTCATTTGGAAAAGCCATTAAAAAATGTTTTTAGTTGTATCCTAGAGTATTTTAGAGTATGTTATAAATATAACTACAAGACAATTTGAACAAACAGTTGATACTAACTTTCCTTCGTTTCCAGGATGAAGTTTTTCGTTGTTTGAAGCTCTACTCTGGCTCTTGCCAGGGGCTGCAATATAGCCTGGCCATAAATATGGCCTAAAGGCTGAACGCGGTTTCTGTGACCTCTCCACTGTGATCCTCGCCCACATGGTGGCACATTGTGTCATCGGGTGTTTATCGCTTGTGTGATGTCCTGGTGGGGTAGAAAGTCAGTGTCGGGGGCAAAAAATAAAATCCTTATCTGCACAGGCCATGGCCACAGCAGTAGCCGTGCAGCCCTAAATCCTCAGCTTCACACCTCTATAGACGGCTCGAATATTATGTAAGCACAGAGTACATGTACAATTATTTTAGAAATAACGTATGTGTCCCATAGAAGTATTCCAATTATGAGTGTAACAATTAACGGTGGGTAGAAATAAAGGTGTAATTCCAGCACATTTCAGTGCATGTATCCAATATTTAGCTGTTGTTGATAATAGTTAATATTATTAGCTAACAGGTGAATGAATGAACAGAGGTATACAAGGACAGAGATTAGAAGGGAAGACAGTAACCCGAGCCTGAGTAGTTTTTAACCCTTCAAAAAGAACGTTTTCTTCGTCTGTCTGTATGTGTGTGTGAAGGTATGTATGTTTATATGTCTACATTTATGTCTATATATCTGTCTGTCTATCTATCTATCTATCTATCTATCTATCTATCTATCTATCTATCTATCTATCTATCTATCTATCTATCTATCTATCTATCTATCTATCTATCTATCTATCTATCTATCTATCTATCTATCTATCTATCTATCTATCTATCTATCTATCTATCTATCTATCTATCTATCTATCTATCTATCTATCTATCTATCTATCTATCTATCTATCTATCTATCTATCTATCTATCTATCTATCTATCTATCTATCTATCTATCTATCTATCTATCTATCTATCTATCTATCTATCTATCTATCTATCTATCTATCTATCTATCTATCTATCTATCTATCTATCTATCTATCTATCTATCTATCTATCTATCTATCTATATCTATCTATCTATCTATCTATCTATCTATCTATCTATCTATCTATCTATCTATCTATCTATCTATCTATCTACCTACCTACCTCTATCTACCTACCTACCTATACCTACCTATCTACCTACCTACCTACCTACCTACCTATCTATCTATCTATCTATCTATCTATCTATCTATCTATCTATCTATCTATCTATCTATCTATCTATCTATCTATCTATCTATCTATCTATCTATCTACCCACTATCTATCTATCTATCTATCTATCTATCTATCTATCTATCTATCTATCTATCTATATATCTATCAATCTATCTATCTATCTATCTATCTATCTATCTATCTATCTATCTATCTATCTTTCTATCTATCTATCTGTCTGTCTGTCTATCTGTCTGTCTGTCTGTCTGTCGGTCGGTCGGTCTTATCTTCTTTTTTCGGTCGGTCTTTGGCTCGGTCGGTCGAGTCGGTCGTCCAGTCGTCGGTCGGTCGGTCGGTCGGTCGGTCGGTCGGTCGGTCGTCGGTCGCAAGGTCGGGTCGGTCGGTCGGCTTCGGTCGGTTTGGCGGTCGGTCGGTCGGTCTGTCTGTCTGTCTGTCTGTCTGTCTGTCTGTCTGTCTGTCTGTCTGTCTGTCTGTCTGTCTGTCTGTCTGTCTGTCTGTCTGTCTGTCTGTCTGTCTGTCTGTCTGTCTGTAAATTTACCCACGCAATACATTAAAAATACAATCCCAATAACATTCTCAATATTTGTGAACTCCTGACAGCCTGGTGCCCTTACAAAGACGGCTACAATCTGTATCGCTCCGCTCCTGTCTGTTACCGTTACTTCCAGACAAACGTCACGTGGACGGTGGCTAAACAACAGTGTGAAGTTGCTCGCTCTCATCTTGTTGATGTCAAGACACAGGCCATTTCAACCCACATCACCAATTATTTGAGAGCTTCGTTGGGTATGTTCCCATTGTGTCTTCCTGAATACATTTATTGTTCATTTTCTTTATTCTTGATCTTCTTGCCTACTTATCTTCTTTTTTCCCCTTCCTGACTTCCTCATTTCTTTGGCTCATTAATGTTTTCCTGCCGACAGAGTTCAGAGCGGTCCATGCTTTATAAAATTATGTCTCTTCTGATTATTTCGTTTTACGTAGGCACCTCGGGTCACGAACGCTACTAATCACGAAGAAGTCGGTCCATGAACACAATTTTCCATCAAATTGTGACTCGACCCAAGCAAGTCCTCGGCTCACGAACCCACAAACATGGCTTTGCTGCCAGGTTTTGGCTAAACAACGGTTTCAGTTTGTTGTTGTTGCTGCTGCTGCTACTGCTGTTTTTCTTCCCCTTCCCATGCCCCCTCCCCCATTAAATTAATTCTCATTATGGCCCAAAAGAAAGTTAAAAGTGTTAGTTATGTAAAAAAAAAAAAAAAAGCTCTACAGCAGTGTTTCCAAAACTTTGCTTAGTCTCTGCACATTTTTTTCAATTAACATTCTTCTACGGATGCCTAACCTAAGTAAAAGTATGATTATTCGTAAGTAAGAGATAAAAACAATATAAAACTCGTGTATCTTCCTTATTTTTGTCTGTATTAATATTAAATTAACAATGAATGTGATTGACGAGCCTGTAAATCGCTGTACATTTTCTCAAATCGTGGAATCAAACTAGACACGACCACCCTCATTTCTTTTTCAAGGATACAAAGATTCAGAACATTTGGCTGAGGTCGATTTTTTTTATAAGACTGACATATTTATGGGACATTTTTGAAAAGCTGAATTCTCTTAATCGCTCTCTGCAAAGGGAGGAAAAAAAAGGGGGGGGGGGGACAGGCATTTGTTTTTTTAAATCAACGGAAACAATATCCGCTTTTATTTAGGAAAATTCAAACAATGGAAAAGAAAATTCAATGAAGATGCAGGCAAAGATTGTTTTTCAATATTACAGCAATTTTTCATGTCAAATGAACTTGATATTTCTCGAGATATAAAAAAATGCGTGGGGAGCACTTATCACAGCTAATGATCTGGTTTGAGAAATATTTTCAAATTGAAAATTTGGATAAATTTGCATGGATTCAGGATCCATTTAACACTAGTGCTCAGTCTGAATTTACTTCCACAGAAGAAGAGCATCTTATCGAGCTATCTTGCGATAACAATGAAAGCAAAGTTTGGCAGCATGGAATTTACAGAATTTTTGATTTCAATAAAAGTATAATGTCACCTCCTAAGTGACAATGCTCAGCGGATTGTAATTCCATTTTCGACGTCGTATTTGTACGAAGCTGGGTTTTTCGACGATCGCTGTAATAAAAAGCAAGTATAGTGCAAAAATCAACGTTTAAGGCATTAACAGTGTTTAGAAATCTAACAAGATCTGCAGACATAACTAGATGTTCTGTTCTCGAGCTAATTCCCACCGCCGCACACCTTGAAAAACGTGACTGTGCCTGTGAAAACAGGACGTATGGTCATCCTATCCATTATGTTTAGCTCTCCTGGCGAAAACTGGACGTAGTAGTCCAGTCCTAATCTCTGTATGTCAAGCGACCATTTACATTTCAGGCTCTACTTGGAACGGTACCATAAAATGGCGGCCGTAATATGATGCCGTTCGAAAGAGAGCCACATTCTGGCCATAAAATATCCAAAAATATCCGAATGGGGCTCAGTTCTATTAAAAATATATATGCCGGCTCCGTACAACGAAACAAATGCTCTAACAGGGTCTCCGCGATATGTTACTTGCGGACCTGCTTCTGCGAGTGTGCCTCACCGCCGACAGGTATCCCCCGCGGCGCGGATGGGGACTAAACTAGATGGCTGGGACTCACGAGCGGCAGCTATCTCCTGCAACTTCTTCCAATTACTTTGCTCGTGAGTCCCAGGCACCTAGTTTAGCCCCCTCCCCCCCCCCCCCCCAATCGGCGCCGCGCGTAGCGGCGCGGGGGGACGCTCGGCGATGAGTTTAATCGCGTTTGGCGCATGCCGATAAGTCTGACATCTACCGCTGCTAAATCCTCCAATCGGAAGAACACAGTATTGCTAATCGGCTTTCGTCGTCTGTAATGTCTCGAAAGTGGTCAACGGTCGCTAATATCGTCTGTAGTATCGTCTGCAGAAACGCTCGAAATTGTTGTCAACGGTCGGTATTTATCGTCTGCTACTACCATGTGCAATGTTGATATTGATTGTCAAGTAATCCTTGTTTTGCCGCGATTTGTTCCTTGGCAGAAAGTCCGTATTTTAGATACGACTGAACACCGTTCGGATATTTTTGGAAATTTTATGGCCAGAATGTGGCATCATATTATGGCCGCCATTTTATGGTGCCGTTCCATGTAGAGCCACATTTCATTACCGTGAGTTGTTGTCGTGGGCGCCCAGTCCCAGTCTGTGTATGTCAAACGGCCATTTACATTTCTTTAGTGTTTGAGTAGTTGTCGCAGGTGCCCAATTCAAATCTGTGTATGTAAAGCGAACATTTACATTACTGTGAGTGGTTGTCGTATCGTAGGAGCCCAGTCCTAATCTGTGTTAGTTAGTTGCGTATCCTTTACAGGACGTTGCAGAACCAACCCTAACAGCCCCTGGCTGTTGTGTGGTTTCTCTAGGCAATTTACATCCAGTAGTTTGCCATTGCTCCTGTGCGGTCGGCTTTCTTGATACCACTGTCGAAACCAACGCAAGGTGCATTGCCCGCAGCTGGGATCGAACCTGGCATCCCGGCATTACGAAGCGAAGCGTTCGCATCGACTTAGCCACAGAGCCGACCCTAATCTGTGTACGTCAAGCAAAAATTTAATTTTCAATACTGTGTGGGTGGTTGTCGTGGGCTGCCCAGTCCTCATCTATGTATGTCTAGCGACCATTACATTTAATTACTGTGCGAGTGATTGTCGCAGGCGCCCAGTCATAATCTGTGTATGTCAAATGACCATTTGCATTTTATTTCTATGAATACTGTGAGTGGTTCTCGTAGTAGCCAAGTCCTAATATGCGTAAATCAAGCGACCATTTACATTTAATTACCGTGAGTGGTTGCCGTAGGAGCCCAGTCATAATCTCTGTATTTCAAGCGACCATTTACATTTCATAATTGTGAATGATTGTCGTAGGCTGCCCAGTCCTAATCTATGTATGTCTAGCGACCATTTACATTTCATTACTATGTGAGTGGTTGTCCAGTCTTAATTTTTGTATGTCAAATGACCATTTACATTTGATTTCTGTGATTACTGTGAGTGGTTCTCGTAGTAGCCCAGTCCCAATATATGTATGTCAAGCGACCATTTACATTTTATTACTGTGAGTGGTTGTCGTTGTAGAACAGTCCTAATCTGTGTATGGCAAATGACCATTTACATGTCATTACTGTGTGAGTGGTGGTCGTATGAGCCCAGTTACAATCTATGTATTTCAAGCGACCATTTACATTTCATTACTGTGTGAGTGGTTTTCACAGGCGCCCAGTCCTAATCTGTGTATGTAAAATTACCAATTTAATTTCATCATTGTGATTACTGTGAGTGGTTGTCGTAGGAGCCCAGTCTTAATCTGTGTATGTCAAATGACCATTTACATTTCATTACTGTGATTACTGTGGGTGGTTGTCGTAGGAGCCCAGTCATAATCTGTGTATGTCAAGCGACCATTTACATTTTATTACTGTGTGGTTGGTTGTCGTGGGAGCCTAGTCCTAATCTGGGTATGTCAAGCGGCCATTTACAGTTTATTAATGTGAAAATGTCGCCAGTTCTTAGAAAATCAAAAGGTATAAATATGACCTTGCTTGTAAATACTATCGCCCAGTGTGTCTTTGATATCCTGTGCCTACAGTCGATCTGTTCGACCCCGGCCTCTTCTTCCAGCAGCCATGTCTTCCACTTTCCTGTTTTCACAAGACCATTATTGCGGTTATTGTGGCCAAGTTGACAACAACAGAAACCATCTAAAAGTCAGTTCTCCCTCTTGGATAGATTCCGAAAACTGTCAGTAATTTTCATCTTCTTGCTCCATGATACTTCAAGGATCTTCCTGCAACATAAAATATTACACTAATATTTTTTTTTTTACTTTTAATTATAAATAACATATTTGTAAACTATTTATACAACGAACAAAACAAAATAAAAACAGGATTTTTTTTTTTCAAGTAAGCAGTTTTTACATCTACCAAAACAAAACAAAAAAAATCAATAGGATTAACAATTTGTTTAGAACAGTGGTTTTCTTTATGTTCAAAATATTGTTAGTGTCTACGAAATATCCCACGTCTCACCTCCATACATTGCCACAGGAAACGTGCACATTGACAAGATTTTCACCCTAACTCTTTCTGTCCCAGGCAACCCACCAGGAGTTCCCAGATTGTGTTGCTGTATATCAACCCAAAACTTGGTGTGTTATTATTATTTCATGTTTGGTCTGGGTATGCCAAAGAAAGCTGACCACATTTGTTAAATACGTCACAGTGTATGCTGTAACTTTTAAAAGCCATACAGTACTGCGTTTTTTCACTGTAAATATTTTGCCAAACTGTGTTTCTTTTTTGAAACGATCTAAGACTGAAGTAAAATGTTTTATACGTGTAATATATTAATTTTTATTACTGATTACCCCCTCCCATTCCCGGTATACTTTGTTTCAGTTTCCAGAACTTTACACGTCTCGGCTGGCGGAACTTTAGTGAACAACACATGGTACTGGTCTGATGGTTCACCATTTACGTGGGTCAACTGGGCAAGTGGAGAACCGAACAACATGGTCGACGAGAAGTGCATGGCCCTGGCATGGTTCTATACGTTTCAGTGGAATAACGTCCCATGCAATGGGACAACACCGGGGATGCAGCGATATTATATCTGCCAGTTAGATATTCCATAACAGTACTTATAACTCATCATCATCATGTAGCAGGTCCTTTGCAGAACGTCGCTCTCATCACAGTCTGCCTGAAAGAAACTCGGTCTCTCGCCAGTTCTCGTGTACTTTCACTTATATCCTTTGCCTATCTTCGTGTCGGTCGGCCCCTTGCCCCTACTTCCTGGTACCATGCCTTCTGCTATAATTTATAATTTTTTCCAATCTGTCGTCGCGCTTGATATGACTAAAATATTTCGCTTCTATAACTAGTTCTGGGAAAACAGCGTTATTTTTTTTTTTTATTTTTTTTTTTTGAACATTCCGACTTGTTATAATTACCATTATACAGCATGTCTTTTACAAAACATAGTTCTCATCACGGTCTGGCTGAAAAAAAAGCTCGGTCTCTCGCCAGCTCTCCAAGCTTGTGCACTTGCTTATCCAATGTGTACCTTATCTCCTGTGCCTATCTTCGCCCTAGCAGCCCCCTATCTCTCTTTCATGGAACCATGCCTTCTGCTATTATTATTTTTAATCCGCCGTGGTGCTGAATGTGGCTAAGGTGTTTCAGTTTCCAAGACAAGATGCTGTTTACTAGCCACTCTTTCTGGATGTTCAGATCTTTTCGATGCCAGTATTTCTTGTCATCTTGGTCTCTGGTATTCTGAGATGTTTCTAAGACATTTAGCTCAAAAGCCCCTATTTCCATCCTTAATGACTGAGAGATAGTCCACGACTCACATCCACATATTCCTGTAGGGAAGATAATGCTCTACATCTTTCACTTTGATTTTCCTGTTGTTGTTTTTGTTGTTGTTGTTGTTGTTGTTGTTGTTTAAAGGAACCCCACCCCCACCCCCGTGGTGTAAAGGCTAGACCCCGCCTGTGGATCCGAAAGTCGTGGGTTCAAACCCGAACGTAGCTGGACTTTATGTTTACAAGAATGACCTTGGGTCTCGGGTCGATTCAGTCTTAAATGAGCACCAGGTAAGTTTTCGAAAGTAAGGGCCACCCGTGTGATATTAACCATATTACCCACCGAGTGCTGATTGGTCTATAAAATACATTTCTAGCCCTATGTGCCCAATACGCCTGAAGGCGTGGAAAAAGCTCATTTTCTTTATTATTTATAAAAGAAAAGGCCAAGAGCTGTTTAGGTTTCAGGAGCGGTTTCCATATCCACCGTTAATAATTTAATTAATAGGATAACACTTACATTTAATTATAAATTAAGAACTCAATCTGACCAAAACGTTTACCCATACCTTCAATTATGCACAATGACTGATGGGACATGCTTATTTCGCGGTTTTAAAGTAAGCAATAAAATTGTTTAGCATATAATCTGGTGGTGGTGTTATTTTTGAAGAGTTGTGTTGAATTCTTCAGTGTGCTTCTGTTTTTGTGATACAAATATAATAATAAAGTCAGTGTCAAAGAAAAGATTGTGAAGATTACTATATTAAGTTTGGTTTACCGTGCAAGGGCAAAGCGACAAACTCAGCGTGTTGTCTGCCATTGTGTTCTTAGTAATGGCGCAATGAAACTTGTAAGTTTGTAAACACATTTAAGTTCATTATATCCAGAGTTATGGATTAGATACAGAATATTTTGCTGGTAAACTAAACTCTATGAAGTGGATAAAAGTGGATTCAAC